AAAGCTAACAGGCTAAGCTGAGGTTCTTCCATGAAGCAGCTCTGTTGTCCTCCATCCATATTTTCAGTTACAGGCTGAGTCATTTCTACCTTCTCCTCTCAGTCAACGCTCTCTGGTTTCATTTAAAAGTCCTGAACGTCAGATATTGTCCAAGATTAACCTTCAGAGTGGATAAGAGCTCACACTGGAAAACCTAAAGAACATCATCATTTACCCAGTATGCTTTTCTGCGTTATTCAAATGGTGCCGTCCGTGTGACAATATAAATATAAAACTTTCTAAAAACTAAACAGCCGACAGTATTTTTGCATATAATGTCTAATGTTACAAGTAATGGTGGAACACTTCTAAATATTTCAACAGTACATATGCTGAATATTTGATTTGATCCAGTCAGAGGGGCTGTAGGTCCATAAGGAAGCAGAGACACCTTGTTTTAAATAAAAGAAAAGTGTTTTTAAAGTCATTGTGTAATGTTGAATTTCTACCCAAACTGAAGTACTTGTACTCAGTTTGATAAAACACCCCTAGTTTATTGTGTTCCATTATAAATAAAATATAACTTTATGAGATTTACAAAACATTGCATTCAGTATTTTGTTTATTTCACACAGCGTTCCAACTTTGTCAATATTAGGGTTGTATAATCTTTACCACTTCTTATTACTAAACAAAATGAAATAATTTCCCCACCACTATTATTATTTTTTTTATAAATTTCACGAGACCTTGAATTGATCAGTGTAGACGTCAGTGAATTTGCTACCTGAAGACATTCCTGTAGTAGTTGAGGGCTCCTGTTAGAGCTCCGGGCTGTGACAGTGCGTACAGGTAGGCCTCCAGGTCCTCTGCAGTCAGCCACCGGCCTTTCCTCCCGATCCCTGTGCTGCGGCTGGTGAACAAGGCTTTCAGAGCCTGCAGCAGAGACAGCAGGAAACGTCGGGTTAGCGTTCGGCTAGGACACTTTCATCTGTGGAGAATTCAGCTGTAACACGAGAGGAGATCAGCCCCGACGACCTTCAGAGGCAGAGCTGACACTCTGCTGGCTCGGCAGTGTCTCACGCTGAGTTTCTAATTCTGAGAACTCCAGCTCCAGCATATGTCAGCATTTCCACAGTTAATTAGTAAAATCAACAACATCCCCGTTGTTATCTAAAATCAGAGAAGCACAACCTTTCAGAGCTTTCACTGTTCACACAGAAATCACTGATCACTGAGCTTGACAAAACATTTCTAAATGTTTAAATTTAGTGAGGAAGAGAAGAGATTAAACAGGAAATGACTGAGAAGATGGGCTTTACTAAAACAAAACAAACTAATGCTGATTAGTAATGCACCAAAGTTTAGCTCAAAAGCAGCAAAAGTGAAGAATTTAGACATTTTTAGTTAAAGTTGATTAGTTGTGACAGACAGCTTGAGCAGAGTTGCCTCCAAGTTCATCCTGTAAGTTTTATTAAAGGGGGATATTATGTATTTTCAAGGCACATAGTTCAGTTCTATACTACAATCAAGTTTAGGATTTTTCATTATAGTATAGTTTTAAACTATTATAACCTTGCACCTGTCAGACACAGAAAGTAGCTTTTTGTTTTTTGTTTTGCTGAAGAACCGGAGCGAGTACAGAGGCTCTTACAAGATGTTTCAGTTTGGTCATATATCCCCCAGTCATCCTCTCATTTATGAATGATAACTTTAAGATACTTTTTGCAAAAACAATAAATACAGTAAAATAGGAAGCTACGTTTTGCAACAAAATCCTGAAAATCCGCCATTTTTAAAATATGTTTTGAAATGAGTTTCAAGAAATTTTTCTCCTGTCATTAATCTGATGGAGCTGTGAGGGGGAAGCGTGGGGGAGGGGTGCTCTGTGGGGCAGGAGCTTGGCTGCAGACTGAGCTCCGGGGAGGAGCTTTGTGTAAATGGGCGGAGCTTTGTACCAGCAAGTGTTGGGTTCATAGGATATTTTGCAAACAAACAGGATGGCTCCAGTTGTTCATGCTCAAGCTGTCAGCAATGATGTGGCTCAGTTAGTTGCACTTTAAGCTTGTATTGTGAATAATTCTCAGCAACTAATGCACCAAATGTTTACATCATTATCTGTAAAACTGTTAAAACATTTTTTTTGCTAAAAAAATAAAAAATTAAATAACAGAAAACAAAAACAAACATTGTTGTCCTCTCACCTTCATCGGTGGATGAAAACAAAAACAAACAGACTATGCAAGAATGTGTCACACACTCCACTGCACCGGCATATGGACACACACATGCACGCGCGCGCGCACACAAAACCTTGACCTTGAAAGCTCCTAAGCCCACACACGAGAGACCACCTTGAAATCGTTGATGGAGAGCATGAGCTCCGGGAAGCGGGGCAGCTGGAAGAAAAAGAAGTGGCTGGACTTCAGCAGCTGGCTCGGGTGGCGCAGGGCATAATCTGGAGGAGAAAAACAAAAACCAGACGAGAGAAACGTTCATTTGTTTTAAATTAAAGCAAAGTTTGCACACAGGGTGAGGCTGTGGGTGTGAGACCACTCGGCTGCCCTGTCTGCACCAATTGAACCTGCTGTAATTAGCTTCTCATCATCTTCTCCCCCCTCGAAGGATGAAGAGGATTTGCCAGCTGGATGCCAACGTGCAGTTGAAGTAATGAGACAGCCTAATTAACGGTAATAATTCCAGCAATGATCCAAGAAGAGCCTGTTTAATCAGAACAGACAGAAGAGAAGGCAGCAGAAAGATGTGTGAGAACACGCTCAGGCTGCAGAAATCCTACCTGTGAACACAGACGGATGAGGACAGTTCAGGACGATGAGCTTCGTCACCATCTCAGGGTAATGGATGGCAAACAGCCAGGCAACCGTCCCGCCCCAGTCATGGCCTACAAGGCAGCATCTGTTGTACCCTGGAGAGAAACACAATAAACAAGTTGTTGTCCAAGAAAAAGAGACGGATGAATCTAAAACTAATTGGATGCCCTTGCTCATGTTAAGGTTTTCTCTTTCTCAGGACTTTTACACCCATTTAAAGTATTTTTTTGCAGACAATCAAAATAAACTAAGACCTGAGTATCGTTCTGATCAGATTAAACTAACAATCCTTACAAGTTAATCCTGTTCTTTGTGTTAACAAATCCTTTTGTGCCTTAAAAAATCTTCACACCTCTTCAACCTTTTCACACGTCTTCCATATTCTTCAAAGCAGCACTAGGGAAAAGGGTTAAAATGTATCAGGATATAAGTGTTTCATATAATTATTGTTGTTTTTTTTCCAGTTTGAAAAAGGATTCCTACAGTTTAAGGCAAGTTAAATGTAAGACCTTTTAAGACTTTTTAATGCCAAGTGAAATTAAATTTAAGACCAATTTCATAATAAACACAACTGACAAAAAATTTAATAAAAAAAATATATATAAGACTAAGCTATTTAATTTAGTATGTCAAAGTATGTAAATTAGTTGTGAGATCTAGGGAACTGAACAGGGGGCACCACCTGAAATCTTGCCTAGGGCACCAAGTTTGCTAGGGCCAGCCCTGGTTTAGATCAAAACATATTAATTTGTTAAAACAGACCAGTCAAAGTCCAGACCTGAATCCAACTGAGAATCTGTGGCAACATAAAAACTGGTGAGGTGAGCAGCAAAAGAGTTTAGCCTCTACATGTACAAAGCTGATAAAGACAAACCCCAAAAGACTCGTAGCAAACACCAGTTCTGCATTGACTCACGTGAGTGGGAGCTGCGAATAAAAAGCAAAAAAACACGCGTCTCATTTTTCTTCCACGTCATAACTAAGCACCACTTCCATTACATAAAATCCCAGTAAATGATTTGAGGTTTGTGGTTGTAGCTTGACAAAACGTAGAAAAGTCAGGAGACTTTTTCAACATGCTGTTCAGTAAATGATTTACCCAACACCTCATGGTGCTTTCACAGTCTGTAAGCTGCTTTTGGTTGAAGCGAAAGAAAGCTGGGCCTGTTTGTGTTTACTGAGGAATCTGTTCTGTTTCTAAAATAAAAACAGTTTAAATCACTGTGGGTGTGAACAGCAGTGTGTAAAGCATTCTGTAGTCAGGCTGGACTTATTATCCGATCGGAGCAAGCTTCCCTCTGCTTAAGTGATTATTAAGTGAATGATTTGCACATCAGTATGCATTATTGAGTGGCTGGCTCCTAACAGCCTGGTTAAGTAATTGACAGTGACAGCTTGAACAACACAAGAAGCTTCCAAAGATCCATTATAAAGCATGCTAAGACAATAAATATATAAATGTTTTATGAGCGATGGGCTTCCAATCTGTTAGAGGATATTTACAGAGAACTGCATTGACTCTGGGCTGACTGGACTCTGCAGATAAACGAGCCAAACATCGATACTGACTGATAATCAGCTTGTTTCCTGCCATCGGCTTGACTTCACAGGAAAACATCAATTAACAGCTGTGAACAAGGTTTGTGCCGTGCTGTCATGTGGAGTTTGCCCTGAATTGATTTGACTCTTTTAAAGTTACAGTTACCAGACTAGAATCATCTCATGATGAGAAGAGAAAGAGCAGCTCTGGTCAAAACTTGTAAATAAAATGCTATTGAAAGATCTGTTAGTGCTCAGACCGTGTGACGAGGGTGACTTTTCAGCCACTACCACGCTGAATTTCAGAGGTGTATAATGTACACAAGTAAAAGTAAAAAATACCTTAACAGAAAATGATTGACAAGAAAAGTCCTTAAGTAAAAGTCATAAAACTGCTATCAGGAAAGTAAAATTACTACCGGTAATTGTTTTAATGCACTCAGGTGAAAACAATAATCTCTAAAAACCATAATTTAGCCCTGAGAAAACAACAGCACTGTCCAGAAGAGCTCAGTAAAACCCAAAAGTCAAAATAACGACGATGTTGCTGTCTGCCTGAAAACAAAACTAAGAATACAACTAGTGTTCAGTTTAAGGTGCAGGTAAAGTACCTTGTGTAACTAAAACAAAAGAAAACCTCTTTAGTACCTGATGCATCTCAGTAATCCAGGTAAAAAATCAAAAAGAAAAAAAAATTGTATAGGTCTTCTGGACGGGTTCTTCTCTTGCGGGTGTTTCGGAGAAACTGAGACGTTTATTTTCTAAACATGATGTCCCAGTGGCTTTCAAACCCCAAAACACATTACGGCAAAGGCTGGTTCACCCCAAAGATCCGGTGCCCCGGCACAAACAGAGCAATGTTGTATATGCTGTTAAGTGCCAGGAGGACTGCGACCAGTTATACATCGGGGAAACAAAGCAACCACTGTTCAAAAGAATGTCCCAACACAGACGAGCTACATCTAATGGCCAGAACTCTGCAGTTTTCACTCATTTACAGGCCAGCGGTCACTCTTTCAGAGATGAGGATGTTCTCATTCTTGATAGAGAGGAACGTTGGTTTGAGAGAGGAGTAAAAGAAGCCATTTTTGTGAAGAAAGACCGTCCGTCATTAAACAGAGATGGAGGCCTTCGTTTCCAGTTGTCCCCCTCCTACAGCGCTGCTATTGCCAGTATCACTCCACCCCCTGTTAACAATAGGTGTTAATYAGGTGTCAACAATAGCCATGTGATGTGAGTATCAGTCACATGGAGGCAGDGCTTAAAAGCCTGAATTTTGCCTGAAACTCTCAGACTGAAGAAGTCTCTTGGAGGAGAGACGAAACGTTTCATTAGAGAAGAACCCGTCCATAAGACCTATACAATTTTTTTTTCCTTTAGTACCATTAATGCAGACTGGCTGCACAGTAACTCAATCTTATCAGCTTTTTAACAATATCTTGCTCAATATGTAGTTTAATTTACCGATTGACCACTCTAAAAAATAAAACTAAATGAATAAATAAAATAAATTTTTTTTTGTTTTCAAAACCAGGGACAGACCCACTGTGGGGGTGGGGGTTGCTAGGAGCATTGTCCATTAAAGGTAGGTGAAACACTGCAGTGTGAAACATAATGAGCATTATTACTGTATCTTTTAACTTTTACATTTGCTTAAATGTAAAATTTCAAATTGATTTAAAATGTATTTTTTCTCAAATTAAGAAAAAAAATTTTGGGTGGATCAGATGGAAGTCACCCGTGGACTGGACATGGCCCATGGGCCACCTGTTCAACAGCCCTGTACTAAAGGAACACTGAGAAAACAGAGACGAGTATATATATATGTAAAGTATATTAATTTACTCAGCTCAGTTTGGTGGAACCAGTTGGCCTAACTTGGGTAAATAAATTCAACCCTTCGTGTTTTTTTAGACTGTTTAATGATGAGTTTAGTCAGGTTTAAAACTGCAATGTGTAACGAGGTGTTCAGTTTTAAGTAAAGTAACAAAAGTATCATTTTTTATATTTTGACTATAACAAATTAAAAGTAAAAGTTTTGAAGAAATACTTAGTAAAATAAAGATCCTTCGAAACATACTTAAGTACTGTAACAAAGTAAATGTACCTCATTATGTTACACCTCTGCTGATTTTTACAGTTATAATACTTTTTGTGTTTTCTAACATCAGATGACTGTTGTATCCATTTTCAGCAGGGTTATAACGTACGCTGAACAACTCCTTCCTGAAAGTTTTATGCTAAGGGTTGACTCCAGCAGGTACAGGCAACGTTTTAAAAGTGGATCTTAAAAACTGAAGCAGATTAGTAACAATTTCTTCACCAAACGTGTGGAAAAAGAGGTCAGATGAGAATAAAAGGAAACTTTCAGGCCATCAAGGACAAAACTGTTCAAATGTATCACATCTAATGAGGCTGACACCATCCTCACAGTGAGGCATGGCAATGGCAGCATCATGCTTTTTTAAAATTTTCAACAAGCAGAGACAAACTTGACAAAGTGAAGAAAAGTATCACTGTAAGTATTGATGGTGCCAAAGGTAGAAGATAAATAAGTTTTCTGAAATATAGACAAAAGAGCTTGCTGTATGTAGATATGTCATCATTGAACAAACAGTTTGTGTTTGGTTCTCCAATGATTCTTTTTACGAGCTTGAATACAGATTATGTTTACTATATTACCAGCTTATTTCTTCAACATAAAACTAAATATAAAAGAAGAGAAAGTGCATCTGAAGTGTTTGTTCCTCTTCAAATGTGTAAACATCAGTCTTAAAGGGGCAATATCATGTAAAATCAACTTTTTTGAGTTTTATATCATATTATAATGTTATACTCTCATAAAAAACATGCCCAAAGCCTTGCTCTGACTCATTCATGCATGTTTGAGAAATCCTGCAGTGTTTTTAGGAAACCATGCTGAGGAGCAAAACGACAGGTGGGGACCAGAAACACCTTTTGGTACCAGAAACGCCCCTGGGACGTGTCTTTAAGCCGAACTTCCTCATGGCGGAGCACCCCCCACCCATCCTCCTCCTCCCCACACACCCCGCCCATGACTCCTGCAGGGTGAAACTGAAACTGAAAGTGAAACTGTCTGCTGAGCTCTTAACACTACTTCTCACTCAGTGAAGCTCTTTTCAGATTCAAAATACCTTTGAGGAAATGTATTTTCAGATGCCAAGTGAACTGCATCGTGCCCCCCCCCCCCCAGCGCACGCTGAAATAGGCGAGACAGAAGCAGAAGGTGGTTCTTAAAGAGACAGGCTAATTTTAAGGCGTTTAGAAGAAGAAGTGATGAGAAGATACGTTTATTTTCTGTTTAAACATAAAAACAGCATTTTAGTAACAGCTAACGGTGACATAGATACTTTATTATGGTACAGTATTTAAATACATGCCTGAGAAACACAAAATATTGCCCCTTTAATAAACAAATGAAGTAGAAAACCTTAAAAAACATTTTAATTAGCTCTGTTCTCTTTTAATTGGTGCAAACTATCCGATGGAACACTGTGGTGCACAGTTGTGAACTGGAATCTTCCCTGACATTTAGGTGCTAAAAATAAACAGAGCCCGTCAGAGGAGCTAAAATAAGAAAACTGGTGTATTTTGGACACAAAAGGAGCAGAAAGTGCTGCAGCAGCCAGCTAATTGGCAGCTGACGCCGGTCCCCAGCCTGCTCCCTGTGTTAGCCTGCAGTCAGCTTCTGCCTGAGTCACAGGAGGGTGGTCCTGCTGTGCTGCCGGCCCGGGGGGCTGTCCAAAGATTAGGACAGATAAACAAGCCTGTTCCTGACACTACTGTCACAACACAAACTGCAGAGTAATATAAAGACCGTCCTGTTCCTGTTCCTCCCTGCTGTTTTTCTCACCGAGGTACTCCACGATGTCTTTCACATCGGTCACCAGGTAATCGAAGCCGTAGCTCTCGGTGGAGAGCGGCAGGTCCGACTCTCCGTAGCCACGCATGTCGACAGCCACCACACGGAACTCGCTCTTAAACTCACGCAGCTGGTAGCGCCAGGAGAACCTGAGACACAAACAACAACAACAACAACAATAATATACACACGTGTTTAAACACCATACTATTTAAAGCTAGAGGAACAGCAAAACCAACTACACATTTATCAAACCAAATACTTTCTTGATATGGATGGGTATAATGTAAAAAGACTGATGGAAGTTCAGAAATAAGGAGTTCCCAAAGTTGGGGTTGGGACCCACAGTGGGGTCCGGAAACATCAAGGTGGGGTCCTGAAAATATTTTCTGAATAAATGACACTAACAATTATTTTTCTGCCTTTGTCGTTACAAAGGAATAACGTTAGTGTACTTAAAATGGACAAAAATAGTGTAATAAATGATGCTACTAGTGCTTGTTTATTTGACATGAAAACAATGTTTATGAACTGACAACAGCTGGGGGCTCAGGTCTCTGCTGCTGGTATTTTATGGGTCAAAAGCTGAAAAGTTTGGGAACCACTGATTTAGTTTCTTCTGGACATTTATGACAAACAAACTACTTCAGGATCCATTGTGCTATTTTAACCAAAATGTATGTTTTGATTGGAAGTACTATGACGTGTTTTAGCATCGTAACTTTTACTTTATTGAATAATTGAACTTTATTTACAAATATTTTCCCACAAAGAATTACATTTGGACTTCAGTTCCTTCAGAAATGTTGTCTTCTAAGTTCATTCTCAGGATATCGACTTTGTTTTATGCTCCTTAAAGCTTTCAGCTGCTGTTTTGCTAACTTTAGCTTTTAGCTAAAACTTTGCCCATTTGAATTTTTAGCTATGGTTTTACTTTTAATAGGGACAGCCTGGTCTAACAGCCTCATTGCTGTCAAATACTTGTTCTGTCTTGTTTTTGCTTTGTTAGTTCAGTTGTCGGTGTGTGAGGCTATAAAGTTTTAAATTTAGCAGGATTTTAGGCCTACACCACAAGAAGCCCGATATCTGGGGAACCAAATACATTTTTATGCAATTTGTCCTTTCATGCACACGTAAACTGTTTAATATTATTGAAAACGAGGAATAATAAAAACTTTGACCACAGTGGAGACTTGAGAATTCTCCTTTTTGTGTTTGCATGTGGACATTAGAAACCAGAGGTTCAGAGGTCTGCACACTCAGTCTGATAAAAACATGTGGTGCTGATGTCACATATGTGATCCTTAGTGGCCAGATTATCCCTGCTGTTCACAGAGGACCATCAGCCTAATGATCGGGAGGCTGACGGTCCTCGAACAACACGTTGGATTGTCATTGGTAAACATTTGAAAGAACTTCTTATAAAGCTGAGTTCACCTGTAGCTCCTCAGAGTGAAGAAGTCTCTTAAAGGAGAGACGAAACGTGTTTAACAAAGAAAAACCAGTCCAGAGAACCTGCTCACATTTTCAGGACTAGGAAGGTGAACATTAAGAGGCTGGTGAGTCCATATTTCATTACAAAAACTGAAAGATTATTTGCTCCACATCAAGTCTGAAACCCACCTTCCTCCTCATCAGCTGAGTGATGGAGGCGGAACGATGCAGAGCCCTGCATGTGGTTCTGCTGAGTCAGGAGAATTAACCTCAGGTCTTAGAATATAGATGAGGTCTGAGGCAAAGCCCCTTACAGCCCACCGTCCCTCCTCCTGTCCTCAGTCTCAGCTCTGTGAGGGAGGATCTGAACAGTGAAAAGAGGTTTTCATCAGTTTCAGCTCACAGCTCCTCACAATCGGCCAAACTGCAACGCAGACACAACGCTCAGCATTTTCAATGAACGCTGCATACTTTAGACCCGCGATGGCAAACCGTGTCTGTGAATGAGGCCAGTGTGGATTTGTGCTTTCAGCTCAAGAGTCAGACTGCAGAGATTTGACAGAGCTGCAGCTGAGAGTTTCTCTGAGTCAGGAGAAGTTTCAGAGAGATGAGGAAGTCACAGAGCACAGGAGACCTTACAGTTTAGGTTGCAGCAGAGTGCAGAGGACCCGGAGCTCCTAAATGTAGCAAAATGCCTATTAGAAGCTAATAGTAGAAATAGAGCTTTGTAAACGTAGCAGAAAGGTTGCAAATGGATAGCTAAAAGTAGCAAAAATGTAGCTAAAAGTTATATATATATA